TTCCAAAATGTCGGAAATGCTCTAAATAAACAACAGATATATGGTGCTATACCTCCTGTATTTTTCCCACACAGTTCACAGGTCTGGGAATGAAAAGGTGAATACAGGAATGGCTCCTCTGCTATTATCCCTAGTGATCCACTAGAGAGATGTTTATTCCCTGTTCCCATGACTTTGGACTTCACTGGTCTAGAAGTCTTAGCTCTCAGAGAAGGAATTCATCCATTAGGGCACACAGCAATGGTTCCATTAAGCTGGAAATGGGACAGTGCCACACTGCCATGGGTAGGGACTTTTTCTTTTGGGGAAAGGGTGTGTTTTCAGTGTTCTGAGTAAAAATTGCATCATGTTAGATGAAAGCATGTTATTACTACTGCCTTTATTTGAAATAGGAGACCAGGTGGCACACTGGTTAAATGCTTGGCTGCTAACTGAAGGTGGGCAGTTTGAACCCACCAGCTGCTCTGTCAGAGAAAGATGTGGCAGTCTGCTTCCGTAAAGGTTACAGCCTTGTAAACCCTATGGGACAGTTCTCCTCTGTCCTACTGGGTCACTGAGTTGGAATCGATTCGACATCAACAGGTAACAGGTTTATTTGAAATATAGGTATGGTTAGATGTGCACTGATATAAAATCAACAAGTAATGGATTATGGTGGTTTTGAATTGCATCGACTTAAGAAAACTTGGACTATTTTTTTCCCAGAAATCCCTTCCTTTTATGGTTTCAGCTTAGTGTTGACCACAAGAGAAAAATGTATGAGACAGGGAAAGTGTCCATGAAACAGCAACTGTCTTACACTTGGAAGGCTGGCAGTGCTCTAGCACCAGACACTGTGACAGCTTGTGTATGTTGCTGATCTTCTGGCTTGTTTTGTTGGTGTGGAATAGTGCCTGGACCTGCAGCTACACAAACTCCTTCCAGATCTTTTCCTTCAGCTTTTCTGAGTCCTGGGCCATGTGAATGTGCACTCCACAGTGGAAGTACCAACTTCTGCTGCAGGTCATCCATGTCATCAGTTAGAGACACTGAGAAACAGACAAGGGTTCTGAACTGTCTTAATGACTCCATTTCATCCTTCCTAATTCTGGTGTGTCTGTGCTCTCCACTACTTCACATTTTGCTTCCCTCCTTTACTGAGAACCGTTTAAACACCAGATGCAGGGCAATAGCCTTGCAGAGACTTCTCCACCAGCTCCCACAATTGCAATAGTTCCAATTCCGTTAATTACTCCCTGATTCTATGCTACTCATACTGGCTCTGCTTCTCTGATTAAACCCTTACCAATACAATCAGTATATAGAATATACAAGAACTTCTACAAATGAGTAAGACAACAACCTAATAGAAAGAAATGGCTAAAGACACATTAAAGTCACACAAGAGAAAAAAATAAGAAGTTAACACAGGCTGCACAAACTCATTAGTAATCAGGGAAATACAAATTAAAATATGAGCTATTACTTCACAATCATCCAAGTAGCAAATACTAAAATGTCTGACAAAACTAACAGTGAACTTGTATATGGAACAAGGGGAACTTGTACCCATTGCTGGTGAGACTGTAAACCATTTAATCACTTGGGGAATAATTCCACAATGCTGGTAAAACTGAATATGGCATTCTCTAAGATCTACCAATAGGTCTACACCTAGGAAGGATCCTCGAGGAACTCACATAGTGAAAATGGGGGAAATGCATGCAATGTTCTTTATTTACAGAACTATGATATTAACGCATAATATATCTGAGCCTGAGATAGGATAATTACCTTGAAGTTGGCCATCCAGGAGGAGCAGGTTGTCCCCACTGCCAACAGTGGTTGATATCCCTTAAGATAGCCCCCAATGATCCCCACCTCCAGGTAATCATGCCCTTGTTGGCTTGATTTAGTGATTTCTTTCTAGTGAGTAGAATGAAGTAGATGTGATGGTATGTCACTTCTGAGATTAAGTTACAAAAAATCTATAGCTTCTGTGTTGGGTGCCCTCTTACTCTCTCTTATCTGAGGGATGCCAGCTACTATATTGTGAGCTGCCCTATGGAGACATCCATATAAGGAGCTGATGTCTCCAGCCAAAATTCAGTGAAGACCTAAGGCCAGCCCACACCCATGTGAGTGAGCTTGAAAGTGGGTCCTCCCTACTTGTGCCTTGAGATGAATGCAGCCCTGGTCAATATTTTGATTGTAGAACTGTGAGATTCTAAGCCAGACGCACCCAGCTCAGCCATGCTTGGATTCCTGACATATAGAGACTTTGAGATAATAAATGTTGGTTGTTTTAAGCCACTGAGTTTCAAAGTGTAATTTGTAAAACAGCAACAGATAACTAATACACCATCCAATAATCATTGCAAACCCACAGTGGTAAACAAATCAGTTATTTTCAGATTAATAGGGATTCTGAATTACTTAAAGTCATCTTTCCATTCGCTAATTCAACAAATAATTACTGAAGGTCCAATGTATCAGGCCCTATTACAGGGATAAAGTGATTATAAACATAAATATTAAAAACCAATAACCCATGCTTATGGAATTTTGCACACACATAATAATCAAGTGAAGTAAAATATATGTTATTTTAGATGATATTAAGTGATATGAAAGAAAATAAGGCAAGGTAGTAGGATAGTGAAAGCCAGGTTAGGGTTGTTGTTGCTGTTAGGTGCCATCAATTCAGTTCTGACTCATAGCAATCCTATATAAAACAAACAAAATACTGCATGGTCCTGTGCCATCTTCATAATCACTGTTATGCTTGAGCCCATCTTTGCTCCCACTGTGTCAATCCATCTCGTTGAGGGTCTTCCTCTTTTTCGCTCACTCTACTTTACCAAGAATGATGTCCTTCTCCAGGGACTGGTATCTCTTGATAACACGTTCAGAGTACATGAGACAAAGTCTTGCCATCCTTGCTTCTAAGGAGCATTCAGGCTATGCTTCTTCCAAGATAGATTTGTTCATTCTTCTGGCAGCCCATGGTATATTCAATATTCTTTGTGAATACCATAATTCAAAAGCATCAATTCTTCTTCGGTCTTATTTGTTGTCCAGCTTTCACCTGCATATGAGGTAACTGAAAATACATGGCTTGGATCAGGTGTACCTTAGTCCTCAAAGTGACATCTCTGCTTTTTAACACTTGAAAGAGGTCTTTTGCAGCAGATTTGCCCAATACAATAGGTCATTTGATTTCTTGACTGCTGCTTCCATGGGTGTTGATTGTGGATCCAAGTAAAATGAAATCCTTGACAACTTCAATCTTTTCCACATTTATCATGATGTTGCTTATTGGTCCAGTTGTGAGGATTTTTGTTTTCTTTATGTTGAGGTGTAATCCATACTGAAGGCTTAGTCTTTGATCTTCATCTGTAAGTGCTTGAAGTCCTTTTCACTTTCAGCAAGCAAGACTGTATCATCTGCATATCACAGGTTGTTAATGCCTCTTCATCCAATCCTGATGCCAAGTTCTTCTTCATATAGTCCAGCTTCTCAGATTATTTCCTCAGCATACGACTGAAGAAGTATGATGAAAGGATACAACGTCGACGCACACCTTTTCTGATTTTAAACCACACAGTATATCCCCTTGTTCTGTTTGAACGGCTGCCTCTTGGTCTATGTAGAGGTTCCGCACGACACAATTAAGTGTTCTGGAATTCCCATTCTTCGTAATGTTATTCATAATTTATGATCCACATAGTCCAATGTCTTTGCATAGTCAATAAAACACAGGTAAACATCTTTCTGGTATTCTCTGTTTTCAGCCAGAATCTGACATCAGCAGTGACATCCCTTGTTCCATGTCCTCTTCTGAATCTGGCTTAAATTTCTGGAAGTTCCTTGTTGATGTACTCCTACAACTGTTTTTGAGTTGTCTTCAGCAAAGTTTTACTTGCATGTGATATTAATGATACTGTTCAATAACTTCTGCATTCTGTCGATCACCTTTCTTTGGAATGTGCACAAATATGGATCTCTGCCAGTTGGTTGGCCAGGTAGCTGTCTTCCAAATTTCTTGGCATAGACAAGTGAACCCTTCCAGCATTGCATCTGTTTGCTGAAACATCTCAACTGATATTCCACTGATTACTGGACCCTTGTTTTTTGCCAATGCCTTCAGTGAAGCTTGGACTTCTTTCAGTACCAGGTGAGTATATGGCAGCAATTTTAAAAGCATGGTCAGAGAAGGTCTCATTGAAAAAGTGATGTGTGAACAAAAACCTGAAAGGTATGAGGGAGTGAGTCATTCTGCATCTGGAGGAAGTACATTCCAAACAGAGGGAAGATCAAATGGAAAATCTTTCATGCAGGAGTGAAACTGACCAGTGTGGCATCTAGGGGGCCTGTGTAGCTTTCTAAGGACTTTTGCTTTTACTTTGGAGTGAAATGGGGAGTCACTGGGTTTTGGATAGATGAATGACATCATCAGACTAATGTTTTAAAATGATCACTCTGGCTGCTGTGCTGAAAAAAGACTGCAAGTGCGCATTTGTGTGCTGGGGGTAGGGGTGGGGGTAGGGTCTGCAGGATGGAAACAAGTATAAAAGCAAGCACATCAGTGGAAACTTTTATAACAACCCTAGTGAGAGTAGGGTGATTCAGACCAGGGTGGGAAAGATGAAGGATATGAGAAATGGTCAGATTCTGAATATTTTTTTCAAGGTAGATTCAATAAGATTTGCCAGCCAAGTAAATTAGTTAGGTACATACATGTGTCTATCCACTGGATGATACCTAGTGTAAATCGTTAAGCCAAAAGAATACATGCTTTATTAAACCTACTTTCACATACTTTTTATTTATAATCCCCTTTGATCTATACCCACTGCTAGTGTCTTGCTTCCAGGTGCTATAATTACTATTTGCAATGACTTTTTTAAGGTTTCGGGTATATTTTATTTCTTCAATAATGCCATATTTTAATAAGTAACAGACTGCTTACATTAACAACTTGGATTTGAAACAATTTGGAATTACAGCAGATGTGATGATTACTTCTCCCTCCATTCCTTTGGGGTGACTCTGCCCACAGGGGAAAGGTTCCATTCTAGTCCAATCTGTGTGATTACAAATACCCATGCAACAAAACAGAAAGTCGCTCCGCTGGCTAGTATAGTATCACCATATTTGTCATGAAAATCTGGTGGGTGTTTTTGGTGGCTTTGTCTTGCCATCATTTGCTGAAAACTCCGAATCTCAAGACTGCGTAGCACATTTCTAGCAAAAGGAAACATCATGAAGGCGTGATAGGATTGCAGTTGATTGCAGCTGCTGGTGTATTTTGTTGCAAAGAGACCTGAAAAAGAAAAGTGGGCCAATGACATCTGATCTACATTCAGATCCTCCCTCTTTGGGCATTTTGCCTATACTTACTGTTCAAGTAGTGGTTAGACCTGTGAGTTTTGATATCATGGTGTATGGATTTGAATTTGAGCTCTGCCACTGATTAGCTGATTAAACTTGGGCAGTTACTTAACTTCTTTCCCTCAGATTCCTCAAGGGCAAAACTGAGATAATAATGTACACCTTCTAGAGCTTTTGTGAGGATCACATGTGGTAATCCATAATAACAACAGAAGTAAGCATGCAATAAATCTTACCTCTCTACTTATCAAAGACATCCACTGGCTTCATCCCTAGACAGACTACAAACCTATCGAATGGCTATAAAAATCATTTTCAATTTGCCCCACTAATCCAATGGCCTGCATTATGTTTACTAAAACTCTAGGTTGCAGTCGGAATTACATGGTGTTCACAGGATATGACGTGCTTCCTCCTCCTGCTACTCTACTCTGCCTTCCTCTACAACTTTCTCTCCTCCTTCATCCCTCCTTCTCTACTTGTAATTCCTGTCTTCCCACTTTCTAAGGCAAAATTCTACTTGCCTTTTAAATGCCAGTCTAAAAGTTACATATTCTGTGAAATCTTCACCTAACCTCTCTAGAAGGAATAAGCTCCCTCCTCTCTGAGCTATCACATGTCTTATAACCCTTCTTTCATAGCACTTATCATGGTGCACTGTCATTATCTGTTTATAACTCTCCTCCACTAGACAGCAAGGTCTTCAAGAGCCAGGGAAGTAACTTTGCATACATAGCTGCTGACACAAAAGCATAGAAAGAACTTCTTTAAACAATCTGAAATCTAAATGGATATTGGTGTCTTCATATGAAGTTACAATGAATACTGTAAGAGCAAGTCAAAAATTATGAAATCAGATGTGCATTTTGTAATAACCTTAATCATTTTATTTTTTAAACAAATAGCTATACTGGATAAAAGATCTGGAAACAGCGACACATTGTTGAATTCTGCCAATGTCTCTTAACTTTGTACAAGCTGTAAGCAGTGCTCAGTATTTAGCAATGTTATCAATGTTAACCATGGCTCAAATGCAGGTACCACGGATACAAAAGGGTCTGAGGTCAGTACTTGGAAACTTATACTGTTCATCAGGATTTGCTGACTGAAAGGACTTTACTTCCAACTTAGAAAACAAGATTCTAAGGGTCTCTTTTATTTGCTACCATGATGGTAAGTGGTACTCATCATTACTGTGATAAACAGGGTAAATAGAAAACCAAATGCATTTCTTCTAAGATTCCAAATATTCAATGTTGTTTCCTCATCATTAATCTCTCCATCATAAGGGATTAAGGGGTTAATTTGAATTGAATTCAGAATAGGCTGAACGTGAAATGGGTCAGGGTGTGACAGGTGCAGCGTTAATACAATAATACAAAAGCACTTGTGCCGCAACTGCTTTCAGTCTTTAGAAAGTACATAACCAGAAAATACTTTGTGACAACAGGGATCTCTAGTGGGTCATCACCTTGTGCCTGCTGCTTTTTGACAAATTGATTTCACTATTCCTACCCTCACAATGTTAAGCTGAGATTCAGATACTTTGTCTCTAGCGACGTTGATAGCATCCCTTTGTAGCTTAGTTCTTCCTTTGGCTATGCCATATTTGTGAAGCTTTTCTTTTCCATCTAGCCTGAATTTTCATGTATCAGTAAGTGTCAATTACTAAGAATTTTCCTTTAGGAGCTCTTTCTGGTACTTTGTAGTTGGTGTTTCCTCTTATAATAAACAAGCCACAGTCTTTCTGTTCCTTTTTCCCCTGTCCACATCAGCTACACTTATGTCAGTTGTCTTCTGATCACCAGTATCTACTTTTGTTTATGAAACACTAAGAACCAACCGATTAGAGGATTTTTCCGTATTACTTAACTCCACATGACACACCTCTACAATAAATTTTGTATTACCAGTGAACGCTAAGGTGTACCATCCAAAGAACTGAAGCTATATTCTCTAGTATCCATCTAAAAGCAGAAAGAAAGGGAAATCTAATAATATAATGCAGGCAAAGAAAATACTTCTCAAAGTAGATGCTTTCTGATGAAAACAGACTACAAAGAGAAGGAAGAAGACAGATTTCTGCAGGTAATAAGAACAAAGAAAAGGTTCCCTCATGCCTGTGGCAATAAAATAGAAAAAATATGTTCCGAATAAATACAAACAGTTAAGTGAAATATCCTATGAAGATGAAAAGGAAATGTTGCAGTTCAATCCAGGAAAAATAGTTAATACTGGATCTCAATCTAACCATGATAAAGAAATGTATAGATTTGAAGCATCACTAGTAATAACAATAATTTCAAATCACTAAAGGCCATAAATGAAGCTCTGGTGATGCAACAGTTAAGTGCTCAACTGGCGGTTGGAATTTACCCAGCAGTTATGTGGGATTAGGACCTGGAGATCTGCTTCATTACTGATTACAGCCAAGAAACCCCTATGGGGCAGTTCTACTCTGTCACATGGGGTTGCCATGAGTCAGAATCGACTCGATGGCATCCAACAACAACAGCAACAACAAAGGCCATAAAAAGAAGTAAAGTGAGAATGCAGGAAGAATACTAACGTCATTTGAGTATATACTTTGGTACCATGTACCAGACATTGTGCAAGGGCTTTGCATACCTGTCCCATATTACACATAAGGACAAAGTAGCCAAGAACAAGTGACAGGCCAGGATGTAAACCCAAGTCTTCTGATTATAAATCCAGTGTATTTTTCAATTATACCATGTTTTCTTAAAGTATATTCAGCTCTGAGTACTGAGGGGGGAAAAAGTGCTTACCAGAGATGGCCCTTTAATTGATAATGGTTCACTTCAGTTTACTATATATTTACCAAGTGACTTCTATGTGCCAAGGTCTATGCTAGGTGCCACCAGTACAATACTTATTGTCAAGAAAGTTACAGTATAGTCAGGGAATGAATCAAGTCATTATTCTAAGGGAGGCAACAGGCTAGAGATGAGCAAAGGGGGAATTAAGTCCACAGAGGAGGTTAGCATTTTAACCTGGGGTCCTAGAAATTGTTTTAGAAGAGATGATACCTAAGCTAGATTGTGAACATTGATAAGAAACAGATGGGGGGGAGGTGAAAAGGAATATCCACATCCATGTAGACAAAGTACCGAAAGTATAAACAAAACAAAAAAACCATTGCCCGTTGAGTCAGTTTTGACTCAAAGTAACCCTACAGGACAGAGAAGTGCCCCATAGAGTTTCCAAGGCTGTAAATCTTTACGGAAGCAGACTGCCACATCCTTCTCCCATGGAGTGGCTGCTGGGTTTGAACCACCAACGATTCGGTTAGGAGTTGAGCACTTAACCACTGCACCACATAGAGGACTGAAATAGTATGGGGGCAGGGAAATCTGGTGAGCTCACTAACAGTAGGTAATACACGTTAAAGCAGCAGATGCCCATAGGCGAGCCTGGAGAGTCAAGGAAAGGACAGAACATGGAGGGCATTAATTGCTTTGCTATGCCATTAGAACCAATTCTAATCATCAGTGTCTCTCATTCTACAGCTCTGTCTGTGAGTTAGTAATGCTAACTTAATTCTGTGTTTTTACTTTCATGATAATATGAAAAAAAATATTTAAAAAATATAAGTCCTCGATGAAGCCAGTTTATCAATTTCTAGTGTCTGTGTTTATCTTTGTTTTGCATTTTGGATTCCATTGGTGAATAACATTTACTTGTCCTGGACTAATGTGAAAAGAATGGAGGCAGCTTTCATACCTAAATAATGCGTTCAAGCCACAGACAACATAAAAAAAAAAGAATTAGAAGAATCGAGCCATGCCACAACTTAGTATGCATCATGGGCATGTGAAAAAAAAAAAGAACTATTACAACTTCAAGCAGTGATATAGTTTCAGGACAATATTAACGGTCAAATAAATTAGTTAATTATTCATATTAATTAACAAATTAGTATTGTGAATACGAATTGTCTTTGGTTTTTTTTTTTTTTCATCTGTCATTTGAAAGTATTTTAGTTTTATAATTTTGTTATGTGTTAAAGAAGTTGAACTCGGTTTTATGCTTTCATATATATATAATTTTATAATAAAATATTTAAGATTGCACCAGTGGTATGGAATAATTTGTTCCCCTTTAAAAAGATTTAATATGTAACCCATGTTTGATAAACACTCCTGTAGGTAAGGAGAAACCACTGATTGGATTAATCAGGAAAAGGGTAGGGTGGAGGAAAATCTGGAAAAAATGTACTTAAGATAATTTATTAGGTGGAAATGAGTGGGGAGATGGTGAAATTTGAAAACAAAGTTAAGAGGTTAGTTAGGTATTTACTGCAACAGTTTATGAAAGAGATGCTGAGGATTGGAATTAAAAACCAGCAGCAGAGATGGAAACGAGGGGATAGAACTGAGAAATACCAGGAAAATAAAATTAGACACATTTAGCAAATGAGTTACTCTAAGGAAACTTAGTATTCCATTCACCTAGCTTCTGGGTTAAGATTTCGGCCAAAAACCTTGCCCTATTTTCTGGTAGAAATCAGCAGATATTGATACCATTACTGATTACAGCCAAGCTGGAAGCTGACCCTAGAGATGAGAGTTTGAGTGATCTAGGCACAGAATTCGTCAAGGTCAGAGCACACATACTTAGGTGCCTTAGGAACAGGCAGGTCTGGTTAGTTCCTTAATATAAGAAGGGAGAAGGATCCTAAAGGGATTTATTTACTTTATGGTCCTACGAAAAAAAATCAACTTCATCTAAATTTAGCTTAACATCGATCAACAACTGGCCTGCTTAGCTTTGATATAAGGCTTTCTATCTAATGTCAGGAAGAAAATAGGAATCAGTGTCCTACTTCTCAAATGTGCCCAGATATTACTGT